ACCAGTCTCGGAGAGAAGTGAAGCAAAACTTAAGCAATCCAAAATGATTTTCGACACTCAATTGCAATTTGCTCTAATTACAAAGCAGTGAAATACCTGATGTAGTGTTGGTGTACAGCTTCCCAACTCATTTTGACCGTCAGTTTGATTCTCGTCTTGTTCCTCAAATAGCTGAGTTTCTGCCTGTTCAACGTTTTTCTGTAGATTTTCATCTTCTGTGTTTTACAAAAGAAATAGATCCATGTCTTTAAATGCGATGACTAACAAGGCATTGCTTGGTCCAGTAAATTTTATTTATTGTAGAAGTGATAAACCTAGCTTTAACACTGGAGTTTTATAAACATGGCTCAATGATATAATTTGAGAAAAAGCCCCCTTCAGAAAAATGAAATATCTAGCTCATGGGGAGCTGTTAAAAAGCTATACTTTTGTAATTAGTTCCCATGATTGCCATCGAAAATGGTACAGAATGCTAGCTGGGAATTTCATATCGCAAAAGCAATTTGTATTTGTTTAACCTAAGAGTTCTGTTTAAGATCATGAGTTTAAAATGAAATTTCTCACTCGTTTCGTCAAACTTCAGCAAAGACACATTTCATGCTTCCACTAATCATATCAGCCTCTGAATGAACCGAGAAATACTATATTATAAAAAAAATATATATCGTACCAACTGTTCCATATATATTGGTCACTTCTGCGGGTGGTTTATAAACAAATCTTTCTAGAAATGCAACATCCTCGGGGCGTGTTATGGTGTTAGTTCTCCGCTGAATTGAACCTTGCGGCTGACGAAAAATCAAAAGTACAGAAATATATTCAACTTTCTGAGGTTCTCTACATACTAGAAAGAGTAGACTACTTCAGTCGCAAACATCAAAAAACGCAAAAAACTCATAGCACCAACTTTGGCATAAAAATGTAACTTCCTGACTTTTTCCCCCTTTCAAGTTATAGATCAAGGGAGAATCGGGGAAAGGGGACTGATTCCTTAACACAACAATTTTTCCTTAGGCAATCCGTCTTAAGTTATTTGTAGATCACTCCTCTCGATCTCCATCAAGACATTCAAGCGACACAAGCGGCACGAGTAGCATTTCCCGTGCTGAGAGATAAAATATCTTGAGTTTAAAAGGAGCTGGAGTCAATTTTCTTTTCACATTTGACTTTTAAGGTGAATTCATGGTCTTAGTCTTACATCCACTTGCTTCCTCTTATCAATATTTTAGAGAAACAAACGATTAAGTTGTTTAAAAAAATCACATACCTTCGAGCAATCAATATTTGATTGAAGAGTACTCCTTCTGTAAACTTTCCCCTGCCTCTCCTCCCATGTTCGAGATCGGCTTAAAGAGTCCGACTTGCTCCACCAAGGCCGAGCAACGCCATAGGCCTGCGCACGTGTTTGACAGCGGATTATACGTAAATATTCTGCGCGTACCTAAATACAAAAGTAAGCACATGGAGATCAGACCTGGAGAATGTAAAGAAAACTCTGATACTTTTACACGTGTCACTATGGCCAATTTACAGTTGATTAAAACATGTTTTTTTTTTTAAAACTGAAGGAAGCTTGCCTCACCTTTTCATCCCCGATGCAGTGAAAGACAAATATAAATAGGCCCTGTGAGATAACAGATAAATATCAAGGAATCAGTTTAAAAAAATTGATTACCAGTTCAGGAGGCTAAATTATTACCGATAAGTTCTTGAATGTAAAAGAATATCGTTTAAAAATCTCCTGAACATACCTGTAAGGTGTTGAAAATATTAAAAAGATATGCCATAAATATGGTGTCTTGATTGACTACAAAAACTCCAAGTATCCACGTCAGGCCGAGGAGACACGAAAGTAAAGCACATCCTTTGGACCAGTATCTGTTACGCAAAACGATTGTTAATGCTATTTTAGTTTTTGGGCTGAAAACACGCCCAACATCACGATTAGGTAATAATCTGAGTCATATTTATTGTGTGATGTTTTCGGGAAAGACACTAATTGAACTCTTACGGTGAACTTCTCCATCCAGGAGAATTGATCATGTGAACCTAACAAAAATACTGAGGGAGAGGGGGAAGGGTTACTCTGATCGATTAGGGACTCCTCAAAGACAACAGTGATGAACGCCGAATATACCCTTGGATTCAAATAATCGTTTTCCCCCAAATGTTTTCCAATAACTCAAGAAAAGGAATTATCACGATAGCGAACCAAAGCAAAACAAACAAAGAGGCTGTAAAGAGAGCTCAAAGCGTAAACAAGTTAAAGCGTTGGAAAACGCGTATTAAAAAAAAAATCACAATTTATTTTATAAAGAGAAATTAGGGTTTTGTTTTCCAGGAATCAAAACGGCCTCAAAGGTGACGCGAAGTTTCTGGTCCAGACACAGCGTATTATTATGAAATAACAATCAGATTTGTCACTCAATCGGAAAGTTACTTCTGTGGTGTTACCTTATTTTTTCAATGCTTGTGTCTTCCTTCTTCGTTCGTCCTCGAGCTGCCATGATCATAAACGTCTTCCCCAAACAAACGAAATTAAACTGTGGAAGAAAATTTTGACCAAACATTGGTCAACCTTCTCTAAAACTCCAAGATTTGGCTTTTTCGTGGAAATAATCGATTAAATGATTACATAGTTGGCTGGGCACAACATACAAATCTTACTCTTCATTTCGGTCAGTAGAATATTGAATAAGAAAATAGATGCATGTTTATCATTTGTCTTCAGAGTAAATGACAAAGAAATTGTGAGTCGCCCATGAGTATTAGAACGCAGGTTACTTCCGATTTCTAACCATTGACCCGAATTAAACCACTGAACTACCAAATTTGTGCACTAGTTACCAAGCCATATGCAACATTGCTGCATATGGAATATGAACTCAGTGACTGGGTTCATGTTCTTTCCGTGTATGAAATTGAATGTTATAAAAGCAAAAAGAAAGTGGAACTTACCAAGCATATTAAAAGAACTGGTCCTACAAACGCCCAGGTAGAGTGCCTTTCAATTGACAACCAACAGCTGACAAACAGAAACATATGGAATTATTAATCATAACTTATTCTACCTAACAGAAACACGGAAACGCCATGTATCAGACGTTTGTGCACAGAAAGTTCGGTATTCACATGTCTTGGAAACGCAGTACAACTCCTAAGTTAAAATGAAATGAGAGCATTTTCATGGGTCATTTGAATTTCATGATTATCGCTATCGAAGCAGCTTTTTTGTTTTTAGACGTATGTATGTTTAAATTGCAAATTTGGGAAAACTAGGGAAAAGATGTTGATAAATCCATAAAATTATGAGGCTTTTCCATTCATCTGGTCCGTCCGTTCTACGAAATTTACCGCTCTAATTACGGAAAGGCAGGCTTTAACAAACGAATAACGGTCCTTTTACTTCATTTAAGTTCTTTACCAGAAACAAAGATATCTTTGCATTAAAAAGGTTACTCACAATTCCTCCGTGCCATAACCTTCGTAAAAAGGCACAGCCGACACAGCCACGACGATTACTGGGATGCCTGAGTAAACACAAAAGATATGTTGTACTTTTTAGACAAAGTCATGCTCTGGGTGTTTACAACAGACTTAAGCCTCGTAACCAGACCTTTCATGGTTAGGCGGTTGTACATGTCAGTTACAGTTACACGGTAGGATCTAGGCACGAAATTAAACTGACATATAGCTGGATTGAGTGAAATTTACGTTGAAGTAATCAGATTGCGTTTCCGTGACTGTGACTGCCCGTGACTGCCCAGCTCAGATCGTGACTGGCAAATTAACCGAGCGGTACACATGCAATACTGAAGGAGAGAAAGAGAAAAGACCCTAAGGGCCTGTTTACAGGCCCTAAAAATCATATTTTTCCAATAAGGATAGATAAGAAATGACCCTACTCGCTTATTGCAGAGGGAAATTTGTATGAGCCGTAAGGGCAACTCAGCTCGAAAGCAGACTTTACCTCAAGGAATTAGATGCGAGCAGTCAGCAATTAAAAAGACACTAACCCCAACTAAACGTAAAGAAAACAGTTCTATCTCTCGCTGGCCGAGTTTTGGTTCGGAAAATCTTCACAAGCAGAAGATAGAGGACGACTCCCTCCACAGCCATCCAACAAAATGAAACCAAAAATAAGTAGTGTAGGGTGATGGCGATGATCTTGCAAATTAGCTGAAAAAAAAGTATTCAGTTGGAATCTAAACCTTCTCTTCAACTTGATTATGGAGTCTAAGTTTGTTACTTCGAAAATTAAATTAATCATAGTTCGTTCGAGTCGACTCGACGTAGTCATCAATGGGAAAACAAAAAAAATTTAAAACGTCATGATCATATACTAGTCGTTATTTGTCGCCTGAAGGAAGAGGGGGGGGAGTCGCGTCTCCTCTCATCTCCGTTCCCCCCCTGAGAACCATGTAAACCCCAAAAATCCCCCGACTCCCCCCCCCCCTCCCACTCCTCCTGCTTCTCTCTCAGGCGATTAATTGTGACTGCTGCCTTTGTTTTGTTTCTCATACAACACATTATTACTGTATCTTCACCTTATTCGCCGTCTTAGTTATGCCGAACAGGAACAAAGTCTCTGCCATACCCAGAGAAAGTGCTAGGTTGGCGTGAACGAAATAACGATGACGCGTGTTTTTAAACCTGAAATAATAGTTAAAAAATACACTTGTTATTTTATGGATAAATAATCACTTGATTAGTGTAGCAGATATTTTAAACGTGGGAAAGTTTGATATTGACAGTATCCGATAATAAGACTACGCTTTAGTTTAAGAGGCTAGAGTGCTTTTCGATTAAATTTCGTGAAACCAAAACCAAAGTGAAAACGGCGGCCAATCGGAAGAAAGGAAAATACCCTAAGGAACCAATGACGATTCAAAGTAAAAACAGGGAAACTGCCGAAAGCGCGGGAAAACGCGGGCGACCCATTCGTGATTTATGTAAGTTTTGAATCTGATTGGTTGACAGGGTGATGCGAGTTTTCTGGACCAATCAAAGAGCATGGTAAAGAAAATAAAAACAATCTCGGATTACTTCCGGTGTTCAATTAAAAATTGCTTTATACCGAGAGAGCACAGCGTTAAGTTTACTTTACTCACCTTAAGAAAGCAAAGGTGAGAAAAGCGAGGGCCAAAGCTGCGACGGAAATGCTAATACCAACCAATGAAATAAGACTCAAGGCAAATTTATGTTTCTCCTGTTGATGAGAGAGAGATGATAACATTTACCACAAGGATAAGAGATGATTAAAAATATAATTAGGTAAATATTAATTAAATGTATAGCAAATTGTAAGGAAATTTGCGCATCTTATCTAGGTTGTCGTGGACTTAAGACTATCTGTACTAACCATTGTGTCATTTTCTGGCATGTCTGTTATGCGCATGAGCACGGCAAAGCTTGTTAGATGGTAACACTGACAAGTGGTATGGCTTGAATTCCTTTCCTTTAAATTACAGCCTGTTTGCGACCAGAAACCTCTGGGACTGAAAAGAAAAAAAAAGGTCACATAAAATTGTCTACAGATCAAAATTATAGCTATTTATAGATAAAGGCTGCAAGGTTCTCTTTCGCTCACTAAGGCGGAAGTTGATGAAGTTTCGGCCGATGGTAAAAGAAACATAGTGTCTATTCTAAGACACTTGCTACCGAAAGCCATTTTTTTTAAAGGTTCATTTTGCTATAAAAATATTTTGGTTCTTGACTCACCCAGACACATTCCAGAAAACACAGTTAGCTTGGAGTTTGTCGTTATTCTGTAGCGGAAGAAAAAACGATATTTCTTGCGTCAGCAGTGATACACAGCAGGTGTGAAATGAACGTGAAATGAACGTGAAATGAATGTGAAATGAATGTTGTGTGAAATGAATGTTGTGTGACATTAATGTCTTGTTGAGTGTTACATTTCCATGGAATTGTACTACAAGGAAAGTGAGTATGCTCTCAAGGGAATAATAGCAAACACACCTTGCCACAATTAAATTGAGTCGCTAGTCGATACAAACCTGTTTGCTTTTCATGGTTATGATGACTGGGTCTTCAAAGCTGTTTATTTTCATCGGGTGCAGTGAAACTGACGTAATTTCAGATTCGATTTTACCCAAGCCACTCTCATCTTCCGTGGAGTTAGAGGATCTGTAATAAACAGATAATGTTAGCCACGGTGTAAAATAAAACTTTGTTGGAAGAAGAGGAAGTTAAAAAAACTACAGGACTGGCGATGCTACTTTATGAGTTCTTTACAAGTTTGGGTAGATTCTAGTTTTGGCTAACGGTACAGAAAGGTAACACAGAATTACTTACTTCTCATCTGCGCTTGGCTGCATCAAAGCTTCAAGGTTACGGTATGATACGAATGTAATATACTGGGTCATGCCTGGTATAGAAAGAAAAAAGAGCAAAGAATTGAAACAATTGGTGTAGGAAAATATATTTGGCTGTCAAATGGACGGATAAATCTTCTGCCGAACAAGCAGATAAACATAAACGACCTCGTGGACGTCTATGTAACTTTTAAGGCACTTAAAGGAAAGACCTTACCATGGATATGTCAGAGGAAACTTGCTGACTTTCTGAAATGAAACCATTCCACGCCCTTTGCCTTGAATTTTGATAAGTTTCAGTGGCACTTACCCTGGTTTCCTTCATTCCGTTGTTGCATTAACACGGAGCCTGGTAACAAGACAGTGCTAGAAGTAAGATTGCGCATGATCTTGTTTGTCGGTGGCATCCGCTGGGCAGTCGGTTTGACGTCGCTGATGGATTTAGCACTCAACACTAGAAGAGAATTGGTTAGAAAAGAATTAAGGACTTTTGAGACGGGTTCAAATTTTTCATGATGTACTCTGGAGGAAAGTCGATCCGGTAAGTAACCCCCTCTCCTTCCGTCCCTCCCCGTCCTTCTATTGATAAAAATGATCTGCTAACCGTTAAGAGCGTTTTTTCAATTACACAAACTGAACAGTGTAAGGGCCACCCAGAGAGATTTCTATCCTTATCTAATTCTTTCGTGATAATCTTGTAGGCGTATCGCGTGATATTTTATTTTTCTAATTTAGTAATTAAGCTAGGGGTTTGATGACGGATGGGTTACTTAAGATTTAGGTGTATAATTGAACATAGCATGGTAATGGCAGACTTTAGAATGTTCGTGATATAGAAAATCAATAATGGGGTGAAATAATTAGATAAGGAATTGCGTGGGGAAATTGTGCGTGCGCGTTTGGGTTGGAACATCCTGTGACGTTGCGTGATGTGTCATTCGTGCAGCAAATAGTGCGTGCGTGTGGGTGTAAGTTATAGAAGTGTTGATCGGCGTAGAATGAGAAACAGTTGTTAAAATCAAGTTGGCAGGAAATAGCTTGGGATTTTAGTAAATCAAGAATAAGTAATGTCAATCCTTTTTTTTCGTAGTTTAGGCGTGTATTTCCGTTGTAATAGCAGATAAATAGAATTGCTATCTTGTAGCAGAAGATTAAGATTGTTTGAATGTAAAAAATTCGGATATTGTATGGATTATAAATAAACGCAAGAAATCGGAAAGATGCAATCCTATTGATTGTCGAACCAGCGCTCCTCAGAGATTTTCCTTAACGCAGTGGAGAATTTTGCAACAAATTCGGCCCCGCGAAGTTCCAATAAATAACGGGCGCAATGCGAAGAGTTTCTGCTTCAAATCACGCACGAACTAAAGGTTTATCTTCCATTTGTTACGGAAAGTCCGAAGAATTTCCAATTAACCATGCTGTTGAAAACTGCGAGAGCTCTAAAGCTAATGTTCACATGGGAACACACCAAGACAAACTGTTCGTTTTCCAAGGGTTTTTCCTAAAGTGTGAAGTACTGTGAGTCACATGGGCGGGTTATCAGGATTAGAAAGAGTTTCTCGTTTCTTTTACCTCCAAATATAGCGCCCCATACGGAGTTTGTGTGGAGGTAACTAGAGTGATACTCACCGACGTTTGAGGCCTCAGATACGATTGCATTACTCGCAACAGCTGTTTTGGCCAAATGGAGAGCAATACCATCAACTCCTTTTAAAAGCTTACTTGCTTCAGCGGCCCTCGAGTCCTGGAAAAATAAACATGCCAGTTAATGCAAAGAGAGCCATTTGGTCACCAGCTGAAATAAAACCAACACCTTTCAAATGCCCTCTATTTTCTCTCTGTATATTTCTTACCTCTGGCATAAATTTCCAGGATTCAAGAGCTTTGTCGTCTAGAATATTACTGGAAGACTTCACTATGGCCTAAATAAAAATAAAGCGGCAAATTTGACACATTCTGATATGAATTTAGAAACAATTGTAGTCACACGAAGGATTTAACTTAAGTTGACAAACCTTTGTAATCTTTTTTATTGTTTCGTCTCTTATGGCAGGTGGTAAGTACTGCATTGTTCCCAGGCTCTTTTGAGAAATCTTCTCTATGAGGTCAACGACCAGTTTAAGGTCACCAGCTTGAAGTGGAGCTTGCGCATGCGTGCTAACGTCAGTAGCATTAACAAGCAGTATGGAAACTTTGGTAATATCGACGTCGGGATCATCCAGCTGTATTGTAAACGACAAAAATTATTTCTTAAAGTGGTTGGAGTCCCTGTGGCTTTGGGCGAGGCACTTAGATCTGGTGGGAAATTTGGTAAGCTATTCTTCACTACACTGACCAATAATAGCGCGCTGTGACAGATAGATATGATGAAAATGTCACAAAAAGAAATTTATTCACGGCGAGTTGCCTCTCACTCAAACGGATCAACAATGTTCTCATCGACATTTTATGCTATTTAAAAAACTTGGAAAAGTGTGATTCCCGTTTTTTTTATTGTCATTTCTTTATTAAAAAAAGGAAAAAACCACATTACCTGTTGGGCGATATTTATCATTTTATCCGAGACGCATTCACTGAGATCAGGGACACCCCATTTAGATGTGCTTTCGCCGAAAACTTCCAAACACTGTCTCTTAGCAATACCTAGTAATTGGGACATGGAATACGAAATTTAAGGGAAGTTACGTTGAATAGGGAATGACATGAGATATGGAATGTGAGAGTTAAAATTTGATAAATGTGAGATGAGATGCGATGTGCAAGATATGAGATACAAGATAGGAGAGGGGAGAAATCAGATGTAAGGAAGAGATATGGGATATGATAATTGGGGGATATATACGAGAAACAAGATAGTAAAAACAGAGATATGAGATATGAGATATGAGATATGAGATATGAGATATGAGATATGAGATATGAGATATGAGATATAATATAATTGCAAATTTAGTACAATAAGGAAAACAAATATCCATCTTTTACTGTAACTTTGCCACCATGAAATATGCAGATTATCTAACGTGATTTAGATAGACACAAAGGCTCCTTGGGAGTCTTCAAACAGTAAAACTGGTGACACCTGTAGCAAAGTTTTAGCAAACCATATTATAAATGTAATGGTAGACCAAAAGGAAGATTTGACTTTGTTAACAGAGCAGTTGTCTTGAAATTCCCACAAACCTTTGCATGCTTTCCCGTCAAAAGTCCATCCAAGAGGACAACGACAAAAGTAGCTTCCTTTGGTGTTGATACATTGGGCGCGATCGAAACATGGATCTGGCATTTCTTTACATTCGTTTCTATCTGTGAGAGTAAACAAGAATTGGATTGTAATTTGTGAGGTGATATTTCCTCCGCAGCCCCTTACGTTTGGATTCGAAAGGGTATTTTTTTAAGCAGTTCAGTCCGAGAAATGATCTATAATTTATAGATTTAGGCAAGCCTAAAAGCGGAGCTCGCATTTTTTTCCCGCACGTCTCTTCAATAAAACTAAAGCCCCTACTATGGATAAAGTGCGTGGTAATATTAATGGATTTTCATTCGCAACTTCTCCGTGTCCGTGTAGAGGACTGATTATAAGATAGTGCCCGCGCAAGCTAAAAGTAGCACCTTGTACGGTTGGTCGTACGGTCGTACATCCAAATTTTTTCGGCTTGATGGGTTATTACTATTTTGTATAATTATGGGGCTACGCTCTGCGAGCTCCGCTATAAACCCTAAGTAACCTCTCAAATATATAATTCTTCAATTTTTTGGCTCTCATTTACACTCCTTATTGGTAAACGATCTGCGAGAGGAGAAAGACTTGCTCAAGAAAGTAACCGTAATACCCCAGTCAGAGAAACAATATGGAGTTCCTGGATAACTACAATAACGACGCGCAAAGTACACTGATTGAGTGTGTCCCTTTAAAACTAGCTTTTCGATCCAAACTTCAGCTGAGCTTGGAGACAAATGTGAGTTAATTTGTTAAAAGATAACGTTTGTAATCTGCAATACTTAGTTCAAGCGAGTGCAAACTCACCTCCTGTGATAAAACTGACCGCAGCTGATGCAAGAGGAACGCTGTTATTTTCCAGAGCCTGCACTTTGATTTCATATCTTGTCAGCTGCTTCAGGCTTGATAATTCCATGGATTTTTTTGGCGTCACCAAATCAATGGCTTTATTACCTCTTTTGGCTGTAACTCGGTAGGTCACGTGACTATTTCCAGTCTCAATGGCATTCCATGATAGATTGACGAAATTCCAATCATAACTAACGATTTCAACTTTCAAGAAAGTTGTACTGTTACCTGTTGTACTGTTACCTGAGGCACGAGCTGTCAAAGAAATGCAAAAAAGAGAGAGAGAGAAATTAATCGGCTGTAATAAATTGAATTTCCCAGATAAAAATTTAGTTACAGCTGTAGAGAACAAAAAGGAAAGAACCATTTTTGATTTTTCTGAACACCGAACCCAACGCTTTCTCATCCCTGGATCTTTCTGAGATCCCACAAAACAAAAGTGATCTAAAATAGCACAAACTGCACCACCTTTCGGTCTCAGTCTCCTAGCTTTTTTTTTTCTTGGTAAAGAAGATATTTGAAACAATAGAGCATTTTTCAAGTTTGTGTCGTTGCACCAAAGCCACAATATTTAAAAGACCAATAAGATAAGAGGAAAATTTCATGGGCAGCCAATCGGAACTCAGAGTTAAAACATGTTAATTGCTTTAGCGCGGGAAAAAGCGTGCTACCAGATCGTGATTGTTTTTAGCGTTTAATCTGTTTTGTTGAGAAAGGAGCACGAGTTTTCTGAGCCAATCATAGAGGTAAGTAATGCAAAACCAAATTAAACAATCTCGGCTTACTTTCTGTACTCGATTGAATAATTGCCCTTGTATTATTTCTAACCTGGTTTCGTTGGTTTCTCTTCAGGTACAGGAAGCGAAACATTTTCTGTAGGGTATGTAAGTATGTTCCCTTCTCCAAAGTTATGAACTGGTTTCTTCACAATAACATTGACATACATGCGATGAGGTAGGGGAAGTCTTCCTATAACTTTGCAAGACGTTCGGTTTCCTTCGCAGAGTAAGCGGTTATAAATACGTCCATCATTGCTTCTCCACTGCATAAACAATTTATATATGGGTTGGGTGTCCTGCAGTGTCACAGGTAACCATGAAACAATTCGGAGGTGAGGTCCTTGTATTTGGACAGGAAGGAAACGGACAGACAATCGAGCTGAGAGATAAATAAATAAATAAAAACCGTTACGTCTTGACTCGCGATCAGAGATTTGAGATTCGGGCAAGGGACTCGGAATGAGGGTTACAGGATACGAGATACGGAATTTGGGTCTCGGGATTTGGGCTACGGGATACGAGATACGAAATTTGGGTCTCGGGATTTGGGTTACAAGATACTGGCTGCGGGTCTTAAGCCTCGGGCTAGGCTAGGATCAAGTGGGTGGGACTTTGCGCGTAGCGCTTCGAATTATAGAACTGGAATTCGGGAAAAGGATGAGGGATTCTTGACTCGATTGAGACACTAGATGAAGGATTTGCGGTTTGGAAGCTGAGTGTGGGACTAGGAGTAAAGGATAACCTAAGGGATTGGGTTAGAGTTTAGGGGTAAGGCTCTGCGTGTGATGCTTTGGATGAAGGATTAAGGATAAGGGATAAGGGATAAGGGATTCGGGATTCGGGATTCGGGATTCGGGATTCGGGACACGGGATTCGGGATTCGGGATGGACGGTTAGGGATCGGGGTTCACTCTGATCTACATTTTGGGAAGCTTGGTTACCATTAACGTCGAGTAGATAGGACGGCATAATATGTTTTGGGAGGGTGAACCGGTTCAACTAACGCTTAAATATTGTAGTATTGCTATACGTCGTGTATCAACATCCTTCCCCCTAGGGTGATTCCTGAGAAGAAAAGTTACCAAACTACTTTTTTTAAACTTTCCTTTCTGATGACTGTTTCAAAAACTACAATGAAAAAGATAGTTCACCGTGCTTTTTTACGAAATATTATGGGCCAAACTTACCTCATTTATGCCTTTACTGGCACTAATCACACGCGCAATTGCATTGGTTCACGATGGTTAGAAGCAAGGGTTTTTAAAAAAAATTTAATTTTAAACGACATCGACATAAAACGTTCCTCGAGTCGTTGCTTTCAAGGTTATAATCTGTACACCAAAATTATATAAATAGAAATATAGGTCACTGTGTTCGTTCAAGAGCTAAAGACCATCTTTGCCTGGCACATTGCTTGAAAAACAATACCTTGCTCTCGGAATGCGCGCGCACTTATTCGCATGATTACATGATTTTGTGCTCAGTACAGGATGTGCGATGCAATACTGAGGAATCACCTTAAGATAAATAATTAAAAACAATAGATAAAACAATGCAAATAATACAAAAACAATTCTTTTTTCTAAAATCCGCGACCTTTTAAAGCCCCCGACTTTAGAGAGAGACACGACTTTAAAAGACGAGACTTGAAAGGCGCGCCACGCGACTCGGACCAGTACTCAAACTTGGCTCAATACATCGTTTTCGTGTGACACCATGGAGGCGTGTTCGTTACCATGACAATAGACGGCGGCAATGTTAGTTTCTATGGCAATCCTGTGAGATAAGAATTGTTTTTATACGTAATTACTTTGTTTTATTTGATAATGACCAGTTACGTAAGTGCTCAGCATTTGACTAAAAACTTCCTCTACTTTGTCTACCAACTCACCGTCGCTCTTTGTTCTTACGAGTACTTTACAATAACCATGTTGCCTTGTAGCAACAAGTTTTTCGTTAACTGTGAAAGGTCTGTAAGGACTCTAGATAAATGAATAAAAGTTTTATCAAATTAAACCTGGCTGAAGGGAATTGTCCATAGGGTCCATTATAAGGCTACAATTGTGGTATACTCCCTTACAGAAAAATTTCCATTGTTGGGAGTTTTATGACTTTTGCCAGACTCTTTCTGCGTCAGAAAAACCGCCATTGAAGAATTTGCGGTGGCAGAGCATTCGAGAAGTTTTCCATGACCTGAAAAAGGAAAAATTTAAGTATATCAGTCTAATCGTCTCAACTCGGCTTTCTAACAGGGAGTTTTAAATAAAAATGCGTTGATTATAATATTTTTACATCAGAGCCCTTTAAGATTTGACTGTCGCTCTCTTTTCGATATTCAGATGCGTCAAAAAGTGCGCATTTACCTGGCCCTACCCTCCCTCGGGATCGCGGTCTCAAATGATCAGATATTGCGTGCAGTAACAAGTAGCCAGTTATCTTGGTTCACGACCCATTAAGCCGATGAAGCAATACTCATAAAGCGCTTAAATCGTCATTTAAATTCACGGATGTAGACTGAACAAACCAGAACATATTTTATCTCCCACAGTTTGACTAAGAAAACTAACCTTCCTTATCAGCGCTCTGACGAAATTTTTTTCATTTCCTTCCTCTTTTCCGTTAGCCCTTGGCTTATTTGAGTAAGCTTAATTGATGCGATAAAAATTATGCTTACTAGATTCTAAAGAAAATTTCTCATAGTCGAAGTGCATGGTTTAAACAGAGTTTCCGCTGATGTTCACTCTAAAACAATTTTACGGTTAAAAAGTGCTGCAAAATCGGAGACAACTGAAATCCCTAATGGAAAATAATTCTTTTTAAAACACCATTCATGATTTAACCACAAGCGCTATTAGCAAACATAGCCGGAAATAGCACACAAACTTGATTTCACATCTCTATAAATTTTGAACTTTAAAGACAGGTTTTGTAATACTCCATTACGCTTATATGCTTCTCAGATCCAAAATGGATGTTCTGCCGTGCAAAATAATTGTATTAACCTGAAAAAGGCTGGAAATTGTAAGCCCAGTAAAATACGTTTCCTAAGCTTGGCTAGACTTAAGATTTATTCAAGCAATTGAGTCGATAGTATGAAAAATGTATTTGCTCTCCGGCACCAGTCTCGAGTTGTGAGCGATCCTGTCACATAGTAAATAATATCTTAACAAAATCAACATTGGTCTCGTTTCGAAAGGTCTCGTTAATTAATCTGATTATTTTTAATGCATGTTTTGTCTGACCTGATTGTGATGAAATTTTTAAAATACTAGTCAGTGGCTTGTCAGTAAGGCATTATAACCTGAGGGGGCACTGTCTGTCGCTAATCGGACTCCACATTATAAACAGTTGAATGAACTTACTTAAAAAGCACTGCTTATGATCGAGGATACTATAAAGGACATTTTTCTGATAAATAACTAAATTTTGCTAATGGATTTAAATACATTGAGTGATGGGTATCTCAATGAGGTGAAAACCAATGACCAAATTATTAAACGCGGAAAGCGTAACGAAGCCAAACATTAATTTACCGAGATTAGGTTGGAGTCACGAAAAAACTTATAATTGTCACTGACTTCTAAATCGTTTTCATTCCACAGCATTCATATAAAACGTACAATTGAAAACAAAGTAGAAAGTTAGCAAATAGGTAGCTTGAAGTTCGTAAAATTTCCCTAGGGAGACAGCTAAACCTCGTTCTCTGGCTTTAAAATCTTTGTTAAAATCTTTCCTTTAAAATTTCTGCCATGTCTTCAGAAGAAAGAAAGTTGTAAACAAATGAAAATAATTTGATCAACCTTCAATAACATTTTTTTCCAATTCAATATCTTTAAACGAGACTTAGTAAATAATCTTACGTATTTAATTTGATGCATACTACTGAAATATTGGCTGAGTTTAACGTCTCGGTAGTGTCTGTAGATTATATAAGCAACGATATTCTTTGTGTCTAAATTTTCCGTGGAACCATTATTGAGTTTAACTGAAAATTCCTGATAATATTTTACGAACGATTTTTCATAAACAAGGATGCCGTGAAATTTTTTTAGTTCTTCAATTAGACTGATACGAACGAACCACAAACAGACTTGTTATAAATCATAAGACAATAAAATGAATCTTGAATTCTTTACTTACTGTTCTGAGTTGTAATTCCGTTGGCTTTGACTGTTCTCGCAAATAAACTTGTCAGAGCAGTTATTGTTAATAGCCAGAGACAAAACTTCAGGAGTCTTGACTCCATTCGCGTATTCTTAAGTTCAAGCCTTGGCCAATTCTACCTCTGGTGCCTTTGCAATTTAATTGTTGTCACAATTAGTCAGTCCTATGTCAAGTCCAGCCGAAGGGCGAATTTGTCTTGAAAGAATGAACAGATTACAGCGATTCCGCAAATTAAAATTTACACTCTTCAATCAGTAGATTGATCCTTGATAAACTCGTAGTTTGTTCTCGTAACACAAATAAACACGAAAGTTTTCATTCACCGAACCCTCACAAAAGATGACTGTAGATAAGCGAATTTAAACCGGGTGCGAACAAAGAAAGAGTCCCCCAGACAAGTTCGTGAGTCACTCAGCATTACTAAGTGAAATGACCTGTATCGGTGGAACCCAATATCATCCTGTCAGTACGTGATAAAAATGATTGTTCGTGGCTAGCGGATCATACTCGACCTCGTCTATCAAAAACGCCGGTGAGGTATAAGTAGTAATTTCTAAGTATAACAAGAACTAGATTCCAGAGTGGTTTCCGGTGTGGTGAACGCCCACAAAAAAACAGTCGACAAAATCCTCTTACGATTTTTTTTATTGTGGGTTTACAGCATCGTTACGCAGACAATAATGATAGCTATTTTTTAAGCTCACAACACGTATGACACTCAAGCTTGTTTTTCCTAAGGACTTATGAAATAACCCTCGCTTCCCGCCGAGCTATCGCAGTACACTCCAAATAATGCGGAAATTTTCAATTTCTTTATTTCGTGTTAGCAATGATGTATTTAATTTTTAGAGTGATATTCAGTTCATCAGCATAGTTAAAAATAAACTGCCCTCAGAGTTATCAATGCGTTATATCAAAAATACAAACAAAAATCTAGAATAGTCTCCCACGAATCTGCTTCTCGATCTATCAATTACCATGGATCTCGTAAACAAATAGTTTGAGAATACAGATGAGTCCGGAGTATTTCCTTCGTTTTCTATTAATCATCTATTTCATTTTTAATAATTTTTTTTCATCTTACCGTGAGCATACCACACCTCCCCGTGGAAACCACGACCCAATTTTTACAAAAACCTTCCATGATAAATTCCCTACTAATTTTCATCATCAAATAAAATTGTAACCCTGACGGTAATTTGAACTAAGATCGTGTAAGGATCTTCGCACGGGATTGTGACGCGATTTCCTGCGGATTCCCGTAAGGACTGCCCACGGATCACGCCGGGATCACTGCTAGGGCCTCTAGGGATTTATAGAGGTATTTCCGACGGGATTCTCGCTGAAACCTTGCGAGACAGCTTCAACTTCTTCACTACCGCTCTGACGTCAATCGCCAAGAGCGTGTTGGAATTCCCGTAAGGATTTTCGCAAATATTCCTGCCGGGATTGCCACCGATACAAATGTTAAACTTCTCTAGATCTGTTTAACTGATGATATTCTGCATCAACACCAATCGTCCTAAGATTCCCACCTGATATCAACCGGGATTGCCGTTGGAATTCCCGCAATTGCCCCAGGGATTCACACCTAGATTCCGTCGGGATTTTCAGCGGGTTCTTCTCGGAATTCTCTGCGAGATCTAGATTGCGAACGGCATCTGTAACCCTATCTGCAAACTAATGATAGATGGAATGAAGAATTTACCTCTTAATAAAGTTCAAATTAATCGGAATTATCCGAGATTTCCTGTTTTTCACTTTTGACCGAAGCAGTGATTTTTGATCATCAGTAAGAAAATCAAAACTGCTGGTTGATTCCTTTAGAACCTTCCAGCTTACATGCGTGCACGTTCTAGTTGCAGAAATCAACCGATTACTTTTAATATCTTAACTGAATTAACGATGTAAGATAACGAAGAAATTTCTTGAAGAAATTGAAGTCACAACGTATGCAACAGGTGCCCCAAATACTGCGAGGACAAGAAGTGTCGAAAGCGTCGAGTACATAAATAGAGAAAGAGAGATGGTTTATTGTGATCAAGGTCCGCGAATAAAGAAAGATGTATTTTACTTTGCGACGAAGGAACAATGCGAATTCCCTTAGAGGAATCGAACATAGCTTCGCTTACTGACGACATCTCTTTGGTTTAGTTACCAGGGCATGCAAACGCGAAATCCAAAGATAAACAGTTTGCTCCGTAGTTGGAACTTTGTTTTATTTTCTTTGTCCAAAGCTCGTGATAAAACGAATTGAACATCTTTCTCATTCTCTACACATTAAAGTTAATTCGGGAAAATATTATATTTAGGCAGGGACATTGCATGATAGTCCCATTGGTAAACGTTACAAAAGAATCAGTGTGATGTATCTTCCTGTGACATCATTAACAATATTTCTTTGCAATGTAGAGTTAGCTGGCAAACTTGTCAAAGTAAAAGTCTTCGCGCTCTTCTTCATGAAAAACTTACAAAAGCTTTCAAAGGCTTCCCTCTTTATTCAATTTATAAACATTGTGTGTAGAGTTTTCAATCGCTGCAGCCCGAGACTTCTCCATTTTCTTTCCAAAAACAAAGATGTCTCTTATCAATAATGTATGTTCCCCTCTCTTGGCCTCACCAGAAATTCGACGCTGATTAGAGAAAACCAACGAAACACGACTACTTCCTGAGTATTTAAAGAGATCAGTGACTGAACCAAAAATAGCAGTTTAGAATCATATGTGGAATATTTGCTATTTATGTACAGGAATTAAAACGGATATTCTTCAGACACCATCGACACCATCACGTAAAATGGATACCGTTGGAATTGAATAGGTGAAGTAAACTGAAAAACAAACAAACAAACAAACAAATAACTGTTGATAAATCAATCATGGTGTGATAAATGCTGCGCTTACAAAGCGTAAATTTATTGGATTTCGTAATAAAAAAAGAGAAATTACGATAGGCAATTCTAAGGTGATCCGACGGAATTGAGGCATGATTTTCGAAAAGCGCTTCTCGATTGATTGTCGTAACACAACCAACAAAGTTGACACATCGACCAGTCAGAACCAACAAAAATATCCAGTCACTAGAAGCCGATTAAAACTCTAAGTAAAAACAAGCAAACTTCATGAAGGGCGGGAAAACGCGGGTGACCAAGGTTTGATCGGTTTAAGCTTTGCATTTGATTGGTTAAAGTGGCATCAAATTCTGTAACCAATCAGCGAGAAGTAACCAAAACTTTTCATTCTCAGATTACTGTCGACACTCAATTAACTGCTCTAAATTGACAAGACGCAGACTGAACGATATCGAATAAGGTAAAATACAGCATATTCTCAGAACAGTTAATGAACGTGATCCAACTAGAGTGTGAAATTCTTACCCGAGAAAATCATCCATATCCATTGTGCGCGCTCGTTTCTTGTCATATCCATTTTCTGTTAACAACTTTTGAACTTTCTCTTTGATATCAAATCCTTCATCTACCATCTTTAACGTAAAATCATTGTGGTTAGTAATTAGTTGTAATGTACAGGAGACAGTCATTATTTCTCGGGTTGTCCCATGAAATTTTGCGCGGAAAATCCGCATACGACCGGCCAAAGTAGATCCATTTGGGCATTACTGACTTTTAACAGTTGTGTTTCGTTGCAGCATCCGTAACCTGATAACTCTGGCTATCAGTCATAAAATTAAGATTAACCTTTCACTGAAAGCTAAAAAAAGACAAACAATAGTTCTTACAATATCATTTAACGAGCAGTGAATCTTGTAATTTTTCTCCAACATTTCTGCGACCGCTCGTGAACTGTAACAAAACAAAACAGAAACGTTAGTAAGAATCGTTTTAGTGAATACATTTTGAAAGCAATTGAATCGGTGAATGTCTTCATAAGAGTCTTAAACTCTATTTTTCGAGCTGCATTAAAGAGACATCACGAGCTTACCTGAAACATGAATTTAGTGTTTTGTTTTTTCGTACAAACGCGACTCTCACAAGACCATCCCATTCCTAAAAAATAAATTAACGCAGAATTGTTTTTGATGAGGTCTAAGTGTCCTTCTTAGCGCTTTACACACTAACATCAGTATGCACTTTCTCCATTCTGTTCTCTGTACATTTCCAAAGGTGCTGTCGAGGAGAATTTATTTACTAATCAAGAGCTTCGTTAGTTGGTGATCGTTTCTTTTGTTCTCGTGACTTTTGTGTGTGATTCAGGGATGATATTGTAAAGAGAAATTAGATGCTAATCACTAAAAAGAGTCAAAGCCTTGCATAAACGAACGAAAAGGGGTCGTAGTCTTAATCGTGTAAGTAATAAAGCTTATAAATAACAGCTTCTTACCTTAAAATTAATAGGAGGTGGTGGATTTTTGGGTTCAATTCTCACAACACTGGACTCGACTTTTGGAGGAGGCCGGAAATTGTTCTTCCCAACCTGCCAACATTACCATTATAAAGGGGGTAAGTTTCTAAAGAAACTGTGGTGCTGCGTCGGTGGGAGAGTATAGCAGGTAATTTAGTGTTAACAACTAAGTCGAAAACGTAAATTGGCCACCGTAAAGGGTAAAAAAGCTGACTTTTCGAGCGTTAGCCCTCCAATCGCTCTGACGAAGGGCTAGCGCTCGAAACGTCACCTTTTTCACCCTTTACGGTGGCCAATTTACGTTTTCAACTCAGTTGATAACACTAAATTACCAACATTACCATTACATCTCTCAGTAGGCAAGTGTGCAATGATTTGTCAATTTAGCAGGCTGTAATTCACTGTACTGCTATCATTTTTGTACAAGTCTCTGATCAACTTGTAGGGCCTGTTATTTAAACAACTTTTAACCGTTGTTTAATAAAACCGCGTTCTAAGCCATCTTCAATTTAGCCGAACCTTTTATCTGAAAATTTATTTTTGAAAACAGTGTAAAGAGGACCGAACGCTAATAGTGAGAGGACATTTATTTAACTAGACCAACCCTCTTATACAGAATCCCTGAGGACCACAACTTGCGTAAAACCACGGTTTGGGTTAGACATCGTGTAAATAACTGGCCCGTAATGTTGAGATACTTTTTAAGATGCAACACACCTTCATCAGATGATCAACCCTGGCTAGCAACTGTGTGTTGATTGACAGCCGGCAATACAATTTGTCTCCAGGTTGAGCGATTAAACGTTGGGCAAACTCCCTTTGGAACATCAAAACTGCACATCTACAGGCCAACAAAATAAACATAGAAAGTCATATTCTAGTCTAAGAAAAATCAACCATGGTAAAAAATAAAGACTAAAGTCAGCTTATGTACCAAAAGCTCCATACAGCCATACTTTGTCATGCTTTTAGATTACCCATCTCGCACAGCCTAACAATCCACCCTTAATAGCTTGCAGTACCCAGTGGCATCACAACATTCCTCCTCTCCCCCACCCCCCCTCCCCTAGCCAACCTTTGAAATTTGTATGTAGGCAGTTCAAAATGTTACCAATTTCCTTCAAAAGAATTCCAACAAACCCTCTGACAAAGGCTGCTTTCCATAGGGTGAGTGGGTTGGGGGGAGGGGGGGAGAGGGGGGGGGAGAGGGGGAGAGTGGGGAGGGGGAGAGGGGGGAGAATGGGGAGGGGGGAGAGGTGGGGATAAAAAAGTAAATATCCCTCTCAAAGATAAAGTTAAGCACTGTAAGAGGGATATGTCTTCCTTAAGAACACAACACTACAACCAAGCCCAAACTTGAACCCAGACCACCCCACCCCCTGGGCACTAGTCTCCAGGCCACCATGTCCTTCCTACAATCAGACATAAACTGCATTGGTATTTAAGTTGACAAAGAGGAAGTAAGTGTACCTGAAAAATGGTCTGTGGAGAAGGAGCTTGAATACAAATGGTGATGAAATCTGTGAGATGTAAATAGCAAAACATGAGAAAGTATAAACATAATTACAACATTGTGATAAAGAAATTAAGCATACTCAGTGTAAATACCTGGTATGGAAGATTAGCCACGCACACATCAAAATAAGGGAGATCTGTCTTCAAAACATCTCCCACCATCACATGAAGCTTGCTTGCTTGAGGACTGATAATTTAAAAACCAAAGTTATCACATGTCAAAATCACTAAGAGAACCCTTCATACTTGAGTTGCTAATCAATTCCATAAGATACACACTGCTATTAAAAAGCAAAATGCCAAAGTGTTTATCAAATTTCTAGTCATTCCAGTGCAGCATTTATACAAGAACAGTGTTAATTCAAGGACAGCATTTTTTAATTCAAAATTGGTATTACTTAACCCTTTTACTCCACAAGTGATCAAGACAGAATTTCTCCTTACAATATCAATACAATATCAAGCAGACAGGTGATGAGAATGTTAACATCATCAGAACTAACATCATCAGAACTGTATGGCAGATAGTAAGGAGAATTACCAATTAGATCTAGGGAATGAAAGGGTTAAGTCAATGACAGAAATCACAGTAAATCTCTGTAAATTATATTTCAAACATAAACATGATTAACTCTGTAAGTTCCAATGCTCTTTGGATTTAAATTTCCAGGGATATTTAACTTCAACATTTTTATTTTATGTGTCAGTCACCTATCAACCTTCTACACCCTAACATCAGTATCTATATTCTCCATACTGTTCTTTATACATTTCCTAAAGCCTTGACAAGGAGAATTTGTTTAAAAATCAAGAGCCTTATAAGTTGCTGATCATTTCCTTGATTCTCATGACCTTAATGTTTGATTCAGGGGTGATATTGTAAGGAGAAATTAAAAGCTGATCACTCTTCAGGTTTAATGCGTTGAAATAGAATATGCTCAACTTACGTTCCTTGCACTCTTTTCTGAAGCTCAGCCACCATGCGAGGATCCACCTCACAAGCAATAACCTACACATGATTGCACAAAAAGAGAAACTCATTCACACTGTAATTCACAGAAAATATTCAATCAAGACAGATATGTGATCTTTCTCCAGTAAACAATAAACAAACACGGCTCAAGGGGCTTACCTTTTTTACTCGCTCTAATAACTTAACCGTTAAGTTCCCTGTTCCGGGACCGATTTCCAAAACAGTGTCTGTGGATCGTAAGCCAGCCTGAAAAAAATTATAAAAACATTTATATTTCGAACGTATTCTTCAACACGGATTATACCTTGACAAGAAAAAGTAAAGCGGACGAGGCTAAGTTCCATTGTATAAAGTCACCTGAATCTATCCCTTTCAAGAAAAATTTGCCAAAAATTAAAGCTCAGTAACTTTTTAACCTTCAGTTTTAGCTTATTTTACCCAGCTGATCGATAGACAAGGGTAAATGATCGTTAATTAGCAACCGATGATAGCATACATAGGACTGAACTTCTACCCTGTTGATATGACGAAAGAGCTGCGTGTTAACGCAATAAGTTTGCCTATTTAGGTTTCTATGATGAGGAAAATAGGCTTTTACTTAAAAACGTGTGAAATAAAGAAGATTTGTCAAGCATACCTTTTCAACCAGACTGGTTATAACGAGAGGGTTTTTCAGAATATGTTGCCCATGTTCCGTTTTGAACTGTAGAGCTGGATTGGAGAGCAAGAAAACAAAATCACAACGTTACATCACATCATAACTGAGCTAATCCTTTGAAGATTATAGCACTCTGTACTTGATAGAAATTAAATATACATTGCCTTAAAATAATACCTAGCGCCAGAAACTGGCAAAACAACTTCATTAGACATCGCAAGTACCTTGTTGATACACCTTGTTTTGCCCATGTTCTCTGCTCTTCTTAGCTGCTTTTACTTTCGGCATTTTACTCTCCCGTAAAGAAAAACAAACGCAAACAAGCTCAAAGCTTATTGCCACACATCCGATCGGCCATGTGCAATTTTCTGTTGTTGACTTCAAAAGACTGGGACGAATGTTTACCCGCTGACCAAAGTTTTGCTCGCTCAAAAAGAGAAGATGGCGGACAACTCAGAAGAGAGATACAGACATTAGTTTCGATGGAAGCTGATTTGTTATGAGTATGCTGATTAGAAAATGGATTGAGAAATGGAGAAGTTACAGATATCGATTTGTACCTTGGATCGCCTTGAATTTAAGGAAAAGGTGTGATTTTACATGATTGAATATAAACATTATTTTTACCGTGACTTGACGCCACCCCAATCCCTCTCCCCTATACGTTACGCTACTCCTTCTCTGCCCCGCCCGGCTTAGGCCGGGTGTGTTTACTTTTGCAATGGTTGTCAGTCACTTTACTTGGTTCTTGCAAATATGTCTAAGATATAACTCCCATGAACTATCTCTTGCCCGTCAGATTGGATCAATATTTGAGAAACTGCTCACCTACCCCTCCCCTTGTTAGCCCAGCAACAGTCAACTGATAAAAAGTTAGGGTTGATGTTGGGTTAGGGGATGGGTAGGTGTGTAGTTTCTCAGATACGGACATTAATCCATGAGATCACTTTAGTTTGCATGGACCAGGAAATATTCGGTGGATGTACCATTTGTCAATTTCATGTTCTTCTATCATGAATTACAATTTTCGTCATAAATCTGTAGATTCTTAGTCTTCAGTGTCCTGCACTCTTCTTGCGACACATACTAGTTTTAATCATGCTTGTTGATGTTTGCTTGTTTGTTTGTTTCTGTCTATGTTTGGTTTTGAAACTAGAACAGTACGAGAGGTTGGTTCCACTGATCAGGACAAGACTGTTCCAGACACCAAAGTGATTGAGTCCCTTTTGACAGTCCTTCATGCTCTTCATGATATTGAGACACAGTCTGCAAATGACAGGCATCAATCAGGAGTGATGTATAACACCTTAGGTTATGAGATTAAAAGACTTGAGAGCAGTATCCCTGGAGCTGGGAAAGGAGTTTTTGTCACTAAAGGAGACATCCCAGTAGGGAGTCTTGTGGCTTTATACCCAGGTAAATATTTATACTACTTTTGAAAACTTCTAGGATCTCCTAAACCTAATAAATACTCTGCCATCAATGTTTTTCTCCCTAGATGTTAGTTGTAATTCTCTTTACTATCTATGATAAATTTCTTATAAAGTTAGTTTTGAGAATTTGGTGTTGGATCTCATAGTAATCTTCTAGTTGATTTTCTTCTTTATTCTCATAACTTGTCTACTTGATTTTGTAGAGATATTAGAAGGAGAAATTGTGTCATGATCACTCCTGAGAATGATTAGTTTACAACATAATGATGAATCATTTTGCTGTTCTTATTTACAGGGACAATTTATTGGCCTTATGAACCGATCTTAATTCAGTCAGTTGGAAATCCTTTTGTCTTCCGTTGTATTGATGGAATACTTATTGATGGCAATGATAAAGGATTATCTAAAATGATATACAGGTAATCAATGAAAAATGAATTGTGGCAACATTTTTATTCTTTTTAGAACTGATTTCTTTATATAAGTTAGTTAAAAAAAATGTGGATGCATAAAACTTGGGAAAGGAATGCAGAGGTTGCAGTTGTTAAGGAAACAGCTGTGTCATTTTGCATTTTTCTTTGTGCTATATGCATTTCTCCAACTCCATACTTTGCAATTACCCTCTTGGCTCCAATGATCAACAGCATGGAAGAGGTCATGTCTGATACAATTATGTCATTTAAAAGTAACTTCACAGGTCCTGGAACAAGTGGTTCCATTCACTTCTATCATACCTGAGACTTGCTACAAGTCTTGTACCAAAATTCTTGCAATTTTAAGATAGCATATTAGTACTTGTGGAGGCGCGGTGGCCTCATGGTTAGTGCGGTCAACTCCGGATTGGGTGGTCCAGGTTCGAGCCCTGGCTGGGGTCATTGTGTTGTGTTCTTAGGCAAGACACTTTACTCTCACAGTGCTTCTCTTCACCCAGGTGTACAAATGGGTAACAGCATGTGTGCTGGGGGTAACCCTGCGATGGACTAGCATCCCATCCAAGGGGGAGTAGCAATACTCCTAACCACTTCATGCTAAGAAAACCGGAGTTAAGCACTGGCCCCATGGGCCACTTGGGCCCATATAAAGGCTTTTATATTAGTATTCAGCTGTCTGATTTTCTTGTGTAACTGTGAGTGTATGGGTAGGGTGTGGTTTGAGAACCCCTTTCCCCTATAAAGAATTCCTTGAACTGCTCTTGAGTTCTTGAGTTATTCTCTTGCTCCCTAAGGTCAAGTGCTGGAAGAGATCAAATTGGCCCATATTTACTATGCGATACCACTTGGCTTACAAACGATCCTCAAAACACACTGGCTGTTGGACAGTACGTCAATAACAGGACAAAAAACAAGCCGGCAAATGTGGCATACCAAGAAGTAGATATCCCTCTGCAAAGTGTTGCGCCAAAGCTGTGGAAATATCTTCCAAATGTTTGGTACAGTAGTGGTAATATTGCCGGTGAAAACTCGTTTCTTAGAATAATTGCATTGGTGTCTGTTTGTAAGATTTGTGAAGGAGATGAGGTGCTTTCCTCATATTTTACAGTGGTAAATTGACAAGGTGAAAAGTCACCTGACCTCCTTCCCATGTTGTCTCACATCATGCTGCTCCCAAGCTGAGAAGCCTTGCCCCCGAGTCTAGTCTTGTCACCCCTAAATGCATTGCATGGTAATAAAATTGGCCCAAAAATACTTTCATTTCCTTAAAAACATGGCTGGTTTTGATTTTATTTTTCATTTATTTTAAACTATTAACCGTGCAAATCTACATTAAATTTATTTTCTCATATAATGGTGATTTAAGAATAATTTATAAAACATCTGCTTTATGCAAGTAAACATTTCACACAAATTTTCGTAATCTCCTAAATTAAAAGTTAGTCATATATTACTATTTAGTTATATATTAGACCTCATGATAAAATACAGAAAAAAAGTATAATGTTATCTTTCTAAATTTTAGCTTACGCATTTCTGGATTTTGTACCGAGAAAACCATTTGCTATTTTAAAATAAAATGAAAAGATGCAAAACCACGCTTTTAGGATAAAGGGTGAAAGTTTCTAAAGAAACTGTGTTGCTACGTCGGTGGGTGGTATTAATAGATACATTGTTTTTATAAAATGAGTTGGTGATGTAAATTGTCCACCTTTAAGAGTTTCTATGGCTGAATTTTCGAGCGTTAGCTGGTGAATTCCGCTCAGGTTGTCTAGACGTCAGTCATCACTACCGACAACAGTCCTTCTCAAGACTACACTGACCCGGACGATCAAGTTTCAAGAGGACGCTCTTCTCGTGCCATCTTTGATTCCGACGAAAAAGTCAAAGACACTTCCTCGTCTATTTCCTCGGTAAAGTCCAACTTCGAATGCGACGACCGCAGCGTGATCCAACTTCCCTGGTGGTTCACAGTCAAAGCGCGAAGTTTCTCTCTCGCTTCCTTGATGAATTCTGTCTTCTCCTCCGTGAGGATTGTGATTCGCTCGGGCCTGAATTTGTTCTCTGTGCTGGCGCTTTTTTTGAGTGCATCCCAAGACATGCAAAAGGAGATTAGTACAGACTGCTACAGCTGAAATTTCTATGGGACTTTCTTTTTGGATGACCTGAGCAAACAAGAAGTAAAGTGACGTAATACTTTCATAAGGGAAACTTTTCTTTTACAGCACTGTTACCTTTTTAATAGGAGGTTAACCCTTTTACTCCCTAACATCAGTATGTACATTCTCCAAACTGTTCCCTATACTTTTCCTGAGATACTGACAAGGAGAATTTGTCTAACAATCAAGGGCGTCTTTCGTTTGTGATCATTTCCATTTTCCTCATGACCGTAATGTTCGATTCGGGGGTGGTATTGTAAGTATTTTAAAGGTAAACCTAGTTTTTGAATCATTAAACTGCTAATAGTGTTACTACCCGTTGCGGATGACCTTTCTCGTTTCTTTCTTTCACACCTACAATGTTGCATTTACAAAGAACGCCATGATAGCAAATTGACTAGTGTCCTTCGCAGCCGTTCTCGGGGATGTCACACAACACGAGTGATAGAGTAGCGTGACAGATCAAATAATGAGTGCATAGAACTAGAAAACTCGCGTCACCTTCTCAATCTATCAAATGAAAACGGAGACCGGTGTGCAGTGAGTCCTAATCGGTTTCTTGTAGTATTTTCTTTTCTGGTCGACCTTTTGTAATTAGACTAGGTTGTTTCCACGAAATTCAATCGAAATGTCCCCTTAACCCTTTAATTCCCAAGATCTGATTGTTAATTCTCCCCTCTAGCTGCCGGACATTTTCTTGCAAATTAGTTATGAGAATTTGGTCTTAGATCAATATAACGACTTCTACCTGATACATTTGAGTAATCTCATTACCTGCTTGGTTGGATAGTGTTTGGATTTTGTGGGGAGAAGTTACATGTGAATCACTTCTGGGAGTTTAACGGTTACAAAAGATCGTTTACCTCTGTCATATTCTTCACCATAGCAAGGTCATATAACTGAGCCCGCGGTAGGTCATGATCACTTCCGCTCTCATCTGGGGAGGCATTTGTGGTCCTTTCACTCACTCTCGGTTCGTCCAGCGTTGAGTCAAGGCTATTGGTGTGCGCGAAAGAAGGAGTCTCGCACTGCGAAATTACAGGATCAAAGTTGTCAGAAACACCATCGCTTGTAAGGAAGACAATATCCCCGGTGTCAAGAGTTGTAAACGAGAAAGTGAGATTACGCAAGTCTGGGTTGTTGCCAACGCAGGGACCCAAGGATCCTCCAGGACAACGCATGTCTCTGCTTTCAATATCACAGTGTGAACCAAAAGTAACCTCTTGGACGCCTCTTTCCTTATTATAGGTGAATGCAAGACTATCACCAACATTTAACACACAGAGGCCCCATTTGTCAGAGTCTTTAAGTTGACAAACAACGGCTGCACAAAGAGTTGTCAACAATCCATCTCTTTTGAGGATAAATTCATGCGCACTTTTAAACGAGTTATAGAGAATCTCCATAATATCAAGAGTCGTATTCGCTGTACAAAGGTGCGTTTTTAGATACTGCAGACAGCCTGCCACCGCGCAACGAGCAGCCAGTCTTGACTTTTCACCCCAACTCACGCCATCAGCTAAGGCAAGAATGCAGCTGTTTTCTCTTGCAATCACGGCATAAACATCAGCCACAGGATCCCCCAAAAGGCCGCCTGAGACTGAATCATGGTGATACAGAGACTTCCCTTCGCCAAAGGCTCTTTGGCGCTCCTTGGATGTATTCAATTCCCATATTTTCTCGCAGCTATCTGCTGTCTCAAGGAGAATGCGTTTAACACCTTCATCTGGGCCTGTGGCTGCTTCACAAATGTTTTTCCTCATTGGCACCACTACGTGGCTCGGCAGATCGGAACGGTCAGTAATTCCCTTCCAATGCACAACACTTGGCGATGATATCATTTCTGTTACAGACAAGAAGCGGAGAAGGGAATCAATTATGTAATGTCTAGAGAAAGATGTTTTTCATCTTGTCACGAGCGTGGGACTAGGCTTAGAACCGGCTTACCATCTCTTCTGTTCTATTTACAAACATGACTCTGTCGACATTGCTGATCGTTTGTAAGCAGGACGCGTGTCATATGAACTTCGTAATAGACCTCGTAGAGTTTCAGTGGTAGAGTATCGGAGCGTGGGATCCAAAGGTCTGTGGTTCGATTCCTTATGGGGACCTAGAATTTTTTCCTTTGTCCCACGCTCGCGACAAGACGAAAAAAGATCTTCCTCTAGTTTTGTTTTGGTTACGGATTTTGGATTTCATCTTTAGAGGAAGCGTACTTGGCTTCGATCACTAACGGCATCTCTTTAGTTTAGTTACCTAGGGCATGCAAACGAGAAATCCGAAGCCTGGATATACGATTTGCTTCATAGTTGCAACTCTGTTTTATTTTCTCTGTCCAAAGCTCTTGATAAAACGAATTTAACATCTTTCTCATTCTATTTCTTGTGGGACGAAGAAAAAATTCTGAATCCCCCATGAGAAATCGAACCTCCGACCTTCGGATTCCGCTCTCCGATGCTCTACCGCTGAGCCACAGAGACTCTGCAGTGAGCGAAGCTTATTACGAAGTTACTGGACCCCCTCAAATTACAGACGGGGGATCACCCCCGGGGGCAGGAAAAGCAGGGAGGACCTCTAGGACCTCAATGGAGGAGAACGCCTGGAGGCTGAGATTAGATCCAAGGACACAATTTGAAATTGAACCCTGTGTCTGAAAATCTGTAGTGACGGCCTTAAGCTAAGTGCTGTATATTTTATGGCTTTTTACGTGCTGTATTTGGATTTCATCTGCAAAGGAAGAGGCGAATATCCCTGTGTGACTCCCCCCTCCCTCCCCTCCCTAACCTCTCCCCCTCCCCCACGGCGGCATGGGTTCGTTTGTGAAATTTTTCCAAGTTTTGAAATAGATTTTGGTCTGTTAGAAAATTTCGCTTTTATTCAAAACAAAGTTTTCTTAGCATGCAGTGTACTTTGCAGTTCTTTTCTTCTCTTCAGTATGGCATTTTAATTAGATCATTAAATTTTACTTTCATTTTCGCAAAATCCCCCTCATGAAAGTCAAATTTAAACGAGTCTGCAATAACCTGCTGGTAATAGAGCATCCGGAAAACTCATCCTCGGCTCTATTGGGAACAACTCGCATTAAATTTCGTTTTTCTAATCATGCCTGTGTCACTTGCCATTTCATATCGTCTCTCAGTCAAAAGTGAAAATATGACTTAAAGTATTAATCCCTAAAATTACATTAGATAAAATGATATTTGCATGCCCGGAGCTTTTTCCTTGACACAGAGGTTACGGTGGAGTCACCTTGAAACGCGCAGTGACATTAAATATAATCGAATTGAGAAACGTTAAGGAAGTCAGGGGAAATTATTCGGTGAAAATTAAAGAAAAGGAAATACATTTTACAGGAAAAATCATCGAGCCTGTTTGGGAAAAAGCATGAAGATTTGGAGGAGTGAAGATAAAACTGATAGCATCACGCTGACAATTAACTGAAAATGAAAATGATTTCCGCATTGATATTTGCGTTGTGAGCAATTTTAATTAATGCGTTATAGTGATTGTAGAAACACACGTAAAAACTAGGCAATGTAGAGATATTTTTCTAAGATACCTATGCGTGGTTTAGGGGAAATTTTAAAATAAAGCCAGAACGAAGCCAAGGTTACGAGTCACGAACTCTATTTCCAAAAGATTCCAAACCTGCTGTCTTGTAATATCCGTTCCTCCACTTTCGTATGCGATGTAAGGCAAATTTTTTATCTCAGCTGAAAGATAACGCACCTAAATCGCGTGTTCGTTTCGTTCCAGTCTGTCGCAGAGAAGACTGAGGTTTGCTTCTGTATTCTTCTCGTGACTACGTGCCTCAGCCGAGATCCCTGTAACTCGACACGCAACTTTAAGACAAAAGAATGATTTTGCTGTGTCGACTTCCTGTCACGAATCATCACGTCAAGCAGAAACTTTCGTGACCCGGAGAGAGGATAATACTGAAACGAAAACAAAACTTGTAAATATGCTATAACGTATGTTTATCTTTGGATGAAATCACAAGAAGCAACTTTTATCTGCGAAAATTACCTGCATTAAAGTTAATGCCACTCCACGCTTTTGACTTCCCGGCTAAGTTGGAAGTAACTTCCAACCTAAAACTTCCAACCTTTACAACGAGCAGGCCTTCCTTTCGGCGAAGTCCGTCGCTCCAGTTATAAAAATTAGCGGGTAAAAAAAAATTGATGTTAGCGCACCGCGCCGACTCAGGAGTGAGTTGCGCATTTTTTTTTTCGTAGAATCTTTTTTTTAACTCGCGCGACGGTCTTCGCCGAAAAGAAGGGAGTTCATGCAGTCTACGTTCAACCGATATCTGGAATTCTATCCTCCTTGTTCTCACCGTGGAAATTTCATTAAGCCTGTCATGAATAGCATTTAATTGACAGTTAATAAACCCTTTGATCCCTAAGTGATTAGCATCTAATTTCTCCTTACAAAATATCCCTGAATAACACATCGAGATCACGAGAATAAAGGAAAATAATCACCAACTAAAGAGGCTTTTGATTGCTAAACAAATTCTCCTTGTCAGCACCTAAGGAAATGTATGACAACATTATAGAGAACATGAATACTGATCTTAGGGTGTAAAGGGTTAATGGAATTAAGCCAGGGAGCGTTCTGATGTTTATTTTGTCAGCTCTTATGAATAGAATTCTAATTGCCTTAAAAATGATCGAAACTTTGGTTATTCAAAATTAACTCTTTCAGTTACTGTGCGAAAACGCGATAATGGGCTCCTGGCTAAAAATAGTTCGCAGACTGTCTAGTAAACCGGCTGAAGTAGATATAAAGATGTGGAATTTAAATTGATTTTATTTTACTTCTTTAAAAAGATTTAACAGAATAATAACAATCATTTTTCTCTGATCTCCTTAACTAGGAACATATACAATTCACTTTAATTCTGTTTTCAAAAAAGGCAATCTGTTCTATTTATAAATACAACAGAAGTCTAAACACATGCAAATTGTTTTTTTTTTAAGAATATAACTTAGAGTGCATCAAAGTACAGCTTTGGCCCAGATGGCTTGCACTTGTCTATCTCAGTCATGGGAATTCTGCCACGAAACTGCTGCTGTACATTTCCATGCAAACAGTTTCAAGAATTTGTTATTACATCAACATAGCTCTCTTAATCTGATTGAAGTGTCTATTCTCGTCACAAGTTAAATGAATTATATACAAAAATTGTGAGGAGAATTTGCATGTCAAACACTTTTGGGAGTGTTGTGTTAGTGTTAAGGTAATCCAATTCGTCATGTAGGTTATCCCTGCCTGCTAGGCAAGACAAATAAAATATCTGGTAAACAGCAAATAGCAACTGGCACTCCTGTAATTTATTTCTATAAAAAGAAATGCTATATTTAGTCACAATAATACACTGACAGATGTCTCTCTCTAGAATTGTGTACTATCTTTTAAAAAATGTACTCCTGTGATGCATTATAACTAAAGAAAAAAACTATCAATTTATTCCCTAACTAGTCATAAAATCTAATTTTAGATCTGTTATGTGTCTGCTTTTCTCCATAAATCAATATAAAAATTAGAAAATACAGAATTCAGAATTCTTCTGGGTTTTAATTTTTTTGAAATTTCAACTTCAGTGTACTGAGATTAATAGATGTATTTATGAAAGGGACAGAAATTAATTCCAGAAGCATAAATAAAATGATGCTAACATGAAAAAGCCCATTAATAATTTTAGTGTAGCATTACTACAAAATCTTTTCTTAATGTTTAACAACCCCTAATCTTCAACTGTTTAACTAAATGATTCATACAAATATTCTAGAAGCTTTAAAGCACTAAATACATTTTGGAATGTTATGTACAAACTTTCTATAAACATAAGAATGTGCACATATGATTTTGAAACATGTGATTGAAGAATTAGATGAAAAAGTCCTGTCAGTTTTCCACATTCTGAAGTAGTTTAAGAGAGTTCACTTCACTAAATATCTAAGGTAAAAAAATTGAACAGCTGCACATGTCAGCTCCAACATAGTTCAACTTCTCAGTCAGAATGGCTTAAAATGGTTACAGGATGTGTGGACAAGACTGTCATATGAGAATCCACTAACTACCAAATAAGGAGTAGAGCTCTTTAAAAGAATCTGTGGCAACCATTTCAATAGAATTGTTATAATCTTCCTCTGACACTCTTCTTCCATTTTTCTTCCATCCACGGAAAAAGTTTATAATGCTCAGCTTGGGTTTTCCATCAATCTGTTGTTCTGACTCTGGCTGGTCAGGCTCAGCTGAGAAGTGGCCAACTTCAAATGCGACCACAGCTGCGTGATCTAGCTTCCCTGGCAGGTCTCGCATATGCCGGGAAATTTCTTTATCTCTGGCTCGCCGATATCTCTTGTCTGTTGTAGTTAAGCGCTGATCATCTTTGCTGATTTGCTCCAGATATTTGCGCTTTTTGTCAGTGCACACTATAACATGTGAAAGGAGCTTGGCACAGACATGGCGTGCTGAGATATGATCTTCGAGACTTTCTTTCTGGATCACCTAGAAGGAAAAGTGAAAACATATTAAGACATAATGTGCAATAAAAAGTGACGACAACCAACTTTTTTGAACTGAAGTAAAATGATGCAAACATGCAAGAGGCTATTCCACTGCACCTATCCTCCAAGGATTTCAAATTGAAAACGTAGGGAGACATGCCAAGATGAAAGTGTCTCTCTCCTATGAAAACTATATGACAACTTTGTTTTCTCTTCTGTTGCCATTGTTTAATTAAACTTTTCAAAATTCATGCTTTCTCCTAATGAGAATGAAGCTTAGTGTATGATATTGGCTATAAAGAAGACAAGACCATGACAATCGAACCTGGAAATTAATTCTACCTCCCATGACATGTGGTGACAAGGAGTATTGCTCCCCTCCCCCTCCCCCCCCCCCTGTGGGATGCTTGTCCATTTCCAATTACCCTTCCACCCCTCCCCAGCATTTTATCAGGTTTCCCTGACAATTCACTGGATACCCATTTACACTCCTGAGTGGAGAGATGCACTGTGTAGGTAAAGTACCCACACTATCCTAGAAATATGAAAAATACAAGTGCTTGGTTTACCTCTGTCATGTCAGCAAGCATCTTTTGGTGCCTTGCAATGGGAGCATCATACGTGCGCTGTGGAATGTCCTGATCACTTCTGCTGCTACTAGTCAGGGAGGAAATTACTTCCTGATCCCTAGCACTCCTATTGATTTCATGCAGCATGGAGTCAAGACTGTGGGTTCGCACTAGTTCAGAACTTGTACAGTGATTACACTGAGCTATCACAGGATCAAAGTTATCAGAAACACCATCGCTAGTAAGAAAGACAATGTCTCCTGCGTCGAGAAAGGTGAATGAGAAAGTTAAATTTCTCAAATCGGGGTTGTAGCCATCCACAGGACCCAAAGAGCCGCCAGGATCGCGCATGTCTCTCTCCTGGGTGTCATAATGGGAGCCAATAGTGACCTCTTGGACACCTTTGCTTTTTCTGTGAACAAAGGCAAGGCTGTCCCCAACATTGACAACACAAAGTCCCCATCTGTCCATTTCTTTGAGTTGACAAACAACAGCCACGCAAAGAGTTGTCATCGTTGCATTCTTATTAATGATGCATTTCTGTGCATTCTCAAATGCTTCAAAGAGCATGCACATGATCTCTCGAGTTGTAGTTGCTGTGTACAAATGCTGGCTTAAATGATGGAGGCATCCAGCTACAGCGCATCTTGCAGCTAACCTTGAATTCTCTCCCCAGTTTACGCCATCAGCTAGAGCAAGAATGCAACTGTTTTCTCCAGCAATCACTGCAAAGACATCAGCTACTGGATCTCCCGAAAATAACTTTGTGATTGGATTGCAATCATACAGTGAGGTTCCAATTCCATAAGCGCGGGAGTGCCCCTTTATCCATTCCCCAAATGGATCACAATCTTTCGCTTTCTTGGTTTTCTTACACTCTGGTTTACTGCTAAGCTCTAGAATGATGTTCTTTGCACCATCATCTGGGCCTGTTGCCGCAGCATAAAATTTTTTGCTTGGTTGGACAATTCTGTGGCATGGCAAATCGCAATAATTACTGCTCCACTCAACTTCACTTTCTCTGACCATTATTTCTCTAAAAGGCAAAGAAGAGAAAGATTCAGGTAAGTTTGAATCTTCACTAGCAGGAAGTTACCCATTTCTTTAAATATATGGCCAGTTTCCATGCGAGTGGTCAAGATTTTTCCCAAATTCACACCCACACTACTTGCCTTTTTAATAGCATGGAAAAAAATCACAATTACCAAAAGTAACCTTTTCAGCCACACAAATTGTTCCAATTTGCATTTTATTTTTAAGCTTTGTAAATGGTGAGGTTAGTGTGTTGTTGCTTATAAACCTGGAAAATTTAAGCACAATGTGCAATGTCCAGCCTTCTTTAAAAATCCCTCTCTGTCTGGGTAAGTAAACCACACTGTTCTGAAGGTTTTTTCCCCTCCATCTTCTAAATTTTCTTTCATTCCTGATTGAGAAACAAACCCTTTCTCGTTTTCTTAATTCAACAAAGAACTAAAAGGCAAGTCACTCAGAAACTAGAAAGCTTTTTCATAATTCCTTCATTGCACAATGAGAAAATCAATCAAATAAATTTCACAATGTAATACATATATTACTACAGATGTATCTAGACTATGCTAAAGGTCACTTTTGACTTGGGTGCCCTCACAATTAAAGATGAACTACCCTACTGGAGGTCATTTCCCCTACATTATGCTGCCAGCATCTGTCCACACCCAAAACCAGAGAAAGCATCATCATCGTTACCACATCTGCTAGCAAGTGCTAATTCAAAAGTTTCTCATTTCTCTCAACTGACAATAGTACTTCCAAACAAAAACAAACCCCTAATGGATGTTAGTTATGTAACTACGCATTCACGTGTAAATGCACGTGTTTGACTTTGTTACGCAGAAAATAACTGTAACAAAATTTACATTAATCACATCTTTTTTGGAATTTTCGCCTAAAAAAAATTAAACTGCGTGAGTTCTTAGAGCTAGTGAAGGCTAGAAATACCCTTCCAGTAAAAAGGTCATTGCGAAATCGAAAGGGCAGAGACAGGTTAACTTTTTCAACTTATTATAAATTGTTATGTAAGTTTACGAGGGGACAGCGCTGACTGGGGCCAGACGACCCAACTGCCCCAAAAACTAGCTTCATCGAAACTGTTAATAGAAATTGTCGATCAAAATTCTCAACTCATTCTGAATAAAAAAAATTGTTTGCCAAAAGAAAGACATAGTAAAGGTTTCTATACCAAAGAGCTGCCTCAGACTAGTTAGCGTCTTGACCTTTCTTCAAAAAGAGATTACGACCTACCCTGTTTTTCTCAACCGTGATTGTTTATCAGATTCTAGTCCAATTCACACCTCCAGGGCACTCGGCAATACGGACAAATCAGAAACGAAGCTCAAAAACACATTGCACAACTTCGCGAGAAGAGCTCACAGCGAAAGTGATACTACACTCAGTGCGAAGTGTAATTTTATATACGATTTGTTACGTTGTCATCACAATCAGAACAAACAAGGTCATGACCTTAATACAGCAAAAAGGGAATCAGCGAAGCGTGTGCTGGTTTCCATCGCTGATTTACCAAATTAGTCCCTTAATTTCGTTGCGACATAGAATCTAGCATTTCGATTCGAGTAAAATTTGCTAAGGATTCTTTTTGACTAAAGAATTTGATATTTGATTTGATCGCGATAGCGTGAAAGACACGGCAAACAATACGTTTACGAGTCTGTCGGTATGTTAAACTTTAACAATACATCGATTTAATTGATCAGCCGTCTGCTTCGAAATACATAAACCTAAAGCTGTAATTTTCAATTGTAAATTGCCAATATGCGCTCCAGCAATACACATATGACGAGACGAGAGATGCTTTGAAAGGAGTTTTAATTCGTCTCGAGTTACAATTCAAGCTTCAAGGAGGTGCAGCTCAAGAAAGCTGGAAGCTGACAAACAACAACAACTGCTTAATATTCCGCCGATTTGTGCATAAGTAAAATTCATTTATCAAATCCCTACCTCATCTTTTCATGCAATATCCTCGAAAAATCCAAATTTCCGTCGAGAGAAACGGTTTCATCTTCATCTGAATTGTAGTCGCTCACGATACCACTATCTAAATTTTCGTTTGAGAGCATATCCCTAATGGTTTTCGACCCCAAAACGAAGGCATCAATGTCGACCATTTTGTATTCAAAATCGTCTGGAGCACGAAAATGTATATTAGCTCGATTTGACCAGTTTTACAAACTAAAAATCTTGCGCCCGATCATATCCTGATCTCGTTACTAATTACATCGCTTATGTCGGAGACTGGAGGCGTATCAGGATCACGTGTTGTCTCGATGACGTAGGTTCTGAATACGTGCCGAACGTCAAACCTCCTACGCCAGTCTGTTACTGTAAACTCTATTTCGAAATTTGTCAACATGAGACATGACGACGCGTTTTAAAGCTTTTAACAATCACTTGTAGCCTTTTCTTTTACAAACAGATGACGAATTACAGGAATATTGGACCTTCCAATTCACTTGTACTTTAAACTTAGGCATCCAATTTCATTTAAACAAATAAACTTTAAATTTCAGTTTTGAAGTTCACCGGGACTCGCAAGTCAACTCTTTTCCAGTTGGCTTCAACGAATTTTTTTGTATGATAACTGCAGAAAATTTACATTGTATAGAATAATATTATCTCACTGCCGTTTTTTCATTTTGTTTTTAAATTTTGCTTGGACGAATTCACCTCTGCCCCCGTACTATAATCCTGTTTATTCAAATGTCAAAACGATTTCGATAGGAATACTTTGGATGGTGGGATGATTAAAAAAAGAAAAAAAAAACGTCGCGGTTGAGAAGTAGGACATGCCTCTCAAGAATATTAAGAAAAAAAGAAAAAAAGAGGAATATCAACCCCACCCCAGGTTCGTCATTTCCTAAAACGTTGGCAACGTGCTCTCAAACACGAAAATAAGAGATTATCCGAACAAAATGTAACTCGATCGTGATGCTTCACTGATTCTCTCAAATGAAACTCACAACAAATGTCAAACTCTAGCCTAGCCTTTGAGACTCTCCGGTCAAAGTGCAGACTGGTTCAGCACTTGTTAACTAATTTTAAACATGCATTGTATTCGCTATGAGCTAGTTTCTTTCGCAGCCATCTATTGGGATGTCACGCAACAGACAGAATTGCTGTATGACATCCTAACAAGTTACTTCAGTCTCAATTTGTTTCAGTTTGTTTGTGGCTCGTAGTAATGGAAACTACTCATGATTTGATAATACGCGTTTCTGGAAAGGGTACTCGCCTGGTATTTGACTCCGACTCCTCCTGCGAGGAAATCTTATCACAATTTATGCCCATTTTCAGCGTTGAACCGAATCAGTCGTTGATTCAATTTCTTTTCCATTCGCGAACCTCAAACTCTAACCTCCCGTCGATTAGCGAGTCACATTAATAACCGAATAAGGACGTAATGATCATGTGCTCGTCACGAATCGTCATCGGATAGTGTCACAGCCGATGGGGGTCACGTGAATCTGCCATGTAACCTTTGATACTCGAGAATGTCTGATTAATAACTCTCCTTTTGAACTACTTTACAATTACCATAAACTAGTCATGAGAATTAGCCGATAGGTCACAACTTTATCATGGTGCTGATGACACGGTCTATTCTCGTCATCTTTCTGTTGATTAATGCATCACTGATTGCAGGTGATTTTACAAGTTAATCTCTTCTGAGAGTTCAAGGGTTAAATTCAGTTACTTGCAGTAAGGATGGTTATAAATAATCACCAGATGAGTGCAAATGATGTTCAAGGTCATTCGCACCTTTGCGTTTACTGATTTTACTGTATATCAGATTTAAAATAGCTCATTCACTTGTATTATTACCAATCCAAAATAATATAACAACCTGCTTTAACGATAAGAAAAGGTAAAGCTGAGACTGAACAACCATTTAACCACATGTTTGTCACGCATAAATTCACCTTGTTTGTTTGCTTTTGTTTTCGTGTGTGTTTCCTTTTTTTTTTTTTTTTTGGTATTTTTAAGGCCCAGTCAGTTTGAAAACCAAGTTTCCTCGAATCTTTGACTTGACAAAATTTCACAAAATTTCACATTGGAAGTCGTTGTGAAGGGGAAACTCTGCATGAAGCTATAACAAGATACTACCAAATAAGTCAGTTTTTGGAATTTTAAGTATTTTCGTTCGTGATAGTTCGTATCTCAGCTTGGAATTTTGCCACTTTTCACATTTAAACATGTAATACTTGTTTATTTCAGTACTACGGTCACGCGATATTTACGGCGCCCATGCGAATGTCCGAAGATCTATAACTTGGTACTATGTAACATAAATCTGTGAACCCTAACTTAAGCACTTTGTACTTTGCCAATCAACAATCACAACAAGATGCGAATGAATCGGCTGAGCTACAAACAAACAACCAAATAGGGAATTTTACGTCATCCATATCCATAAAAAAGTTTCATGATTAACATGTGAACACGCCAAATTGATTAAGATCAATGTTGGCATCTAAGCAGCTGCCCACCTACCCCTCCCCTAACCTAACATTAACCCTAACTTATCATCAGTTGACTATTGTTGGTTAGGAGAGGGGAGTTGCGCAGTTGCTAAGATACTGACAGTGATCCGTTCTTGACGTTTATTGTATTAAAATACATTCAATTTACTGTCTCTTTTCTGATTATTATACAAATTGGAAGCGGATTACAACGAGAATTAAACGGATAACTTCACAAAAATCCTCCGCATTTAGAAGACAATGCTCAGTCATCTTTAACATTTAACGGTGTTTGAACGATTGTAAAATCCAGGAAGTGTGAACAGTTCTCTAAGTGTGTACGCATTGCAAAGCTATGGCCGATCTTACGAATTCACGAAAAGTGAGCGATACGGAAAAGATTTAGTTTGTAAAGAAAAAAAGGGCTAGAAATTTTAAATCATCCAAGGGAGGTAATAAAAAAAAAATTTAAAAAAAAGTTACTCAAGCTTCTCTAAAAAGTGAACTTTTTCATCACGCGACA